AGTTGCAGTTCTTGTCCAGCCTGTTCACCAATTCTTGTCTTCCCAAATTCCAAATCCCACTGCTCCACTTAGGGCAGAAGCAAGGTCAGCTATAACGTGAGACAGAGCTCATAAATGGCATCAAAAAGAGAACATATGCTAGCTGAGGTGGGCCAGTGAGCAGGTAATTCATCAGCCAAGAAGGGGCAGTCTATGGAGATGGAGGCTTCATTAAAGACAGAGAAGATAATGATTTCAGAATTGGGCAGAAAAAATAGATTTCTCCTTCAGAGAAGAAATAGGAACAACGGTGCTTGGTCATTTGAAGGAAAGTATAGTAATTAGCTGACTGCTCAAAGGATTGATTCTTTTCATATGAAACGTCCAAATATATTTTGTTCATCATTTGGGGGATTCACAATTTTGAGTTCCAGTATTAGTGTATTATGACGGGAGCAACAGAAGAGAGCTATGGAAACATGTTCCCCTGCTTCCTGGGAACATGGGCATGACTATTATTCTCTCTCTGGCAATAACTTTTTTTTTTTTTTTTGAAGTGTCAAAACACCAGTTGCCAAAGACAGAATATTGATGTCACAACATTAAACTTGAAGAAAAAGTATTTTCTATCTCATGGTATTATTAAAGTGAGTGTGGCTAGATTAGTATGTCACAGTCCTCTAACGCATATCTGTAGGAATCATTAGACCAACAAGCTTTACATTCAAACTTAACTAGTATGTACATAATTATGACCATTGTATTAGACAAGTAGCACAAACATCTCACAAAAGAAAGACTAAAGTTTTATATTTTTCCTCACTATTCTAATGCCTCTTCCCCCACACCACAAACAGAACTAATGTACTGAAGCAATGTACTGCAGAAGGGCGATGGTCATACTTCTGCGTCAAAAAGAGCAGATGCAACTAGTTTACAGCTCTTTGGCTTACAATTTTGGGTTGCTCACAAGACTGGTTGCTGATAATTAGATTTCAAAAATCAGATTTCAAAATTATCAGATTCATATTGTTTGCTCTTCTTTTATGTGGAGCCGTAATACTAATATTTCTGGAGTTACTAGAACCATGCCAGTAAAGGAACAGTTTATTTGACCTACTAAGATGCACTTTTAACTTGCCTTCAATGCTAACATCTGTAGAAGTAAAAGTGAATCTTAAACTGCTGTATAACATGAGAAAAAAAAAATAAATATCAGAGTTTAGAAGTTAAAATCAATGCAATACAGTTGACTTCTACAGACGGAATTGTTTCTATTCCTTTTTTTATTTATTTTAGAAAGTATCCTAGACGTCCGGTGCAAGTTAAGGCTGGATCAAGGGCCATGCCGTGTTTATATCATAAAATGGTACTATGATAAACAAGCCAATGCCTGTGCTCAGTTTTGGTATGGTGGCTGTGATGGAAATGCAAACCGCTTTGAGAGTGAAGAGGAATGCAGAGAGGCTTGTGTACTTGTTTCTGGAGGTAGGAATTTATCTCTACATTAATAATGAGCAAGTTGAAGCTATTGATTGTTTGGGTTTGTTATCAAGTACGCAGCATGGTATGTAAACCCAAGCCCACTAATTTAAAGAATGTTAACATTATGAAGTCATATGCTCCCTAATAAAAAAAAAAAAGTCTACCTACGCAAGTTCATTTTAATTCTTTTTGCACATATTGGATGATGTAGCTCTTATGTAACAAAATAGCAATTTTTCAGTAGTATCAAGAGTACAAAATTTCCTTTTTACTAAGGTATAGTAAGACCAGTATAGAATTTGCCACAGTAATTGTCCTTCCTTCACCTAGATCTTTAAATACTACCAATGTACAATCACTAACTACACCTCATTTTAAATTATATATATGGCTTTGGAAAGCAATCTTTGGTCATTAAAATTATGTCTTTTCTCTCTGTTACAGAAATCTGATGTGTGCATGGATTCTGCAATGAAGACTTCACTTTTTTTAAGCAAAAGTGTTCCCACAAATCCTATTTTAATATTTCAAGCATAAAATATCAATTTCCAAATTACATGCAGATTACTACTCAGTACAGATAAACGCAGCAAATGCATTAACTTGTGGTCTACGTGCTCTCTGGGTCACAAGACAGGAAGGTGGTTCTGCTGCCCACCTTTCCCAATCACATCACAGTTACATTTAGTCCTTTCTTCTGTAAGCTTTCCTCAGTTTCCATTAGCTAGCAAGATACATGACAAATGCAGTTAAAACACATCCACATATTTATATGAGTGGCTATACCAATAGCTGGCATCACTAAATTAGGTTAGTTCATGTCCAAAGTGGTCCTTGATACGTATTGCTCTTAAAGCCAAGTCCAATTTTTAAATGCATTTTAGTATTTTCATCCTTTGTAAAAAACTTTTTAAACTTATGTTCAAAACATTGAATGCAGCATTGAATTTATTGCTCATCACTGACATAATGCTTTTTACATTTATGTCTGCCTGTATACGATGTATTTCCTATTACTTATATACTTAAAAGCTTGTTTCTAATAAAACATTTATGGGTTTACTGCCAGGACAGGATACGGATAACAGTACCTTTACTGGACTAAAAAATTACCTCACAGCTAAATTACACTCACTCCTGTAATGAGCTCCTGATGATGTAACTGGATTTCTACCACAGCCCTTAACAAGACTGAACATCTCAGATTAGACACTCCTGCATGTAAAACCCGATAATCATTTTTGGTTGGATTTGAGGGGGGGTTTTTCCTGAACAAATGGTGAGTTCAGCATATCAAGTAAAAAAAAAAAAAAA